TTGACTTGATAATGACGTTCAGCTAACGTCGAAACGTCGTCGCTTTTTAGCAATTTTTTTTAATCTTGAAATGATTTTAAGAAATGTTTTATCGCAATTTTTTATAGTGAAATGCTTTTCAAAATCACTTCTTGTTCGTAAAAAAGGAAAGTAGTAGAAATGAAAACATCACAAGTACAACGAGAACTCAAAGTTAAAACAAGCAATCTCCTTAAGGCTCGGGAAGACGCTGGCCGGAACAAGTCAAGAATTGTTTAGTTTTGAAGAAGGATGGCGCGAGTTGTCGTGAAAATAGAGAATTGATCAAGAATCGACACAAAAAGTTAAAAGAATACAGTTTATGTAAGATCACGCTGAAGACTGATATCCTGATGTTATTCTCTGTCGCTTGAGACATTCATAGAAAAACTTGGCATCATGCATCTCTTTCTCTATCTTTTTTGATATGCACTGACCTGGAGTCTTTTCTTACCTGAAAAATTCAGGTAAAAGTTTTCCAAGAACAGATTGTAAATCTTCCAACTGCTCCGTAACACCAACTACCAAATAATTTTTTTATGACATTTGTCTTGGCATGTTTAAGCGCTCTTCTTGATGGTTTCCTGGACAGAGATAAAAGGGAAGGAGATTACATTGAAAACAGTAAGGATTTGGCTAAAGGTGAGTGTGACTGAGTGGTTAGGGCGTGGGCTTGTAATCTGGTAGTCCTAGGTTCAAGCCCTTCATGTTGCACCGGCTACTTACTGGATTTGTTCTTGGTTGTCCTGAGTCATCACCTCGGCTACGCTCTGTACACAGCCAACTGGGCTGCCTCGTGACAGTTGGGATTTTGAATACTACGTTTATTCAGAATGTTTCAATTTGAAGAGCGGAATTGGGGAACGTTTGTTCTTTGGAATGTCACGCAACGCTTTCTCTAAACGAAACTAAAATTACAAGCACTGCGTGATAGTAACAAATAGTGACTTCAATAGAGACGGTAGCTTGTACTACATAAACCAATTTTTCTGTTCCTCTGTGCATCTGAAGCTCCAATTTCTTTCGCTCAGTGCCTCCCTTTTCTGACAAAATTTCACTCTTATTTTTCAACAGAATTTTAGCTGTTGATGTCGTTTCATTTGGTAAAAAAAAGAAAGAAAAAACCTCAGGATTTGGCTTTGTTCAATTTCTAAGAAATTTGACTTAAATATGAATTGATTTAACGCATATAGTCGTGCGTTTAAACGTGTTTCGTTTTTCGGAAGCGTTTAAGCTGCATTCTATGTTATCTTCGTGCTGTTATTGTCATACTCCTTACTGTATGGTTCTATCAAACTGGACCCCACTTAGTGCAGGGGTGCAGCAGATTTATTACATGGATTTTGTGAGGTTGTCACCCTCCTTATGGTCGTGTTTTATACCTTTGAAGAAATCAATCAAATGACAATGTGAGTAGAGGGGCTTCCAATGTTAAAACCCTTATAAATAGTTTTGGTGTCCCATCGCCCGACCGTCTTATCTCTCAGATGACGACCGTCTTATCACCCAGATGCAATGTCTGATCAACAAAGCTGCAAAAGTATGACGGTGTATCAAACTATAAAACTAAATAAGATTGTCAAGATACGAGTCAACTCGTTCAAGCTAACAAAATTCGTCAGCTGTACATGTACACAGCTGTTTTGAGGAAGGTTGGTGGAAAAAAGGACAAAAGTGCACGTGACAATCTTGAAAGATAATCTGGGTATCTGATAATCAGTGAATTTTAAGAAATTAAATAAATAGATAAACTCGTCAAGATTATGATGCCTCTTCCTTACAGTGACGTTTTCTCATTTTTCCCTGAAATCCTGAGGGAAAAGAACCGTGATCTGAAAACTTCCCACGATACCTATTGGGGTTGTCACGCGCACTTTTTTTTCTGACAACCTTTATGGAAACAGCTGTGTACGTATTCACCAAATATGGATTCACTGTAGAGACTGTGGCTTACTGGTTTTATTTTTTGGGTTGTTATGGTTTTTCTCCTATACATCAATTTTTTTTATTTATATGTCTTGAAACATTTTGAATATGTTACTTACTTATATGTTACATGGTAAGAATATTTTAATAAACACAATATTCTACGCTTTTTACAGTCCGGGCCATAGACAGTTTTGTCTATACTATGGCCTCATGAAACATACCGTAACGGTCCAAGTTTTAAAAACTTAGGCCAGCCCCATGTTTTAGCCCCGCATTTTTGTCTCTGATATTTATGTTCCTTTGTCCATTCGGGCCCAGTTCACTTGAAATAGAAACGAAAGAGTTTCTTGTCAACGTGTGCTACTCTTCTAAAGAAAGAGGTGCTAATTACAACCCTACATCTCTACAACTACTGCTTTCCGCTATATTTGACTATTTTAATCATTCAAAACAGCATATGGCAGTTTGCGGCCTCTCCTTGCATCTAGGCAGTTCGGAAAGCCGCAAAACACTAGAACAAAAATTTATCTTCCAAATCAGCACCCTTAATCTCTACGGAATCAACGAGCGCTTTTCATTCAACTAATTTATTCCTGTTTTCTCGTCACCATATTCCCAACAATAGTGTAGCTCCACTTTCCGCATATAAACCCACACACAACCCACAATTCCTCCAATCGCTCTGACGAAGGGCTAACGCTCGAAACGTCAGCATTTTTACCCTTTACGGTGGCTAATTTATGTTTTCAACTCAGCTGTTACTACTAAATTACCTGCTATAATCTCCCACCGACGCAGCACCACAGTTTCTTTAGAAACTTACCCCCTTTATCCATTTGTCTGAATCTTTATTAAGTACACAGACTTATTATTTCAATATCTTTATTGAGAAGTGTGAAACACAACGAGCCATTGGGTGATTAAGCCAAGTCGTTAAAGACCTTTGTTCTTGCAGTGAGAGACAATCATATTTCACCGAGTGGATGAGCACGTTTGACTGGTTAGGCCTACTTTTGATCCTGTATATAATACCTTTCCAATACATTGGTAGTAAAGCACAGTGGATATTTGCATCTTTGGCTGTCTTGTTAAACTTCCTCAAGATATTTAAGTTTTCTTGCGTGACAAGGTAATTTACCTCACAACCAAGCTCAAGATTTGTACTGTATGGGACATTTTTAAATTCGCTTTTTTTCGTCAGTCCTTTTTCTAGAGCAGTGTGGAAGGAAAACTAGTGATGAAAATATTCCCGTATAACCCTGTGCTACTCTGAAACAAAACCTTAGTTCTAAATCTATTTTCTTCGCCAAGCTTCTTTTATCCAATAACTGTATACTTAATTAGGTATGGGGTTATAGGGAAATCTTGCCCTTGTTATTTGCAATTCGCTTAACTTTGGCTTGCAGAACTCGAATGAATCTACCTAAACAAGTTATTTTATTGATCTGTGTTTATGATTTTCGAGGTTCTTTGTATAGATCGGAAATCAGCAAAAAAATGCATGTAACATTGTTTCTTATCCAACAAAGCCCTTCATCTTTTCCAGGACTACAGGATTATACACAAAAAGTCGTGGCAAGGATTATTCAGGAGGACTTGACGGGGTTCCTTGCAGTTTTTATTGTGATCTTTCTTCCCTTTTGTTGCGCCTTGTTTTTATCATTACGTCACGGTTCTAATCAATACCATTAATTTAGGTACGTCTGAATTTTTCAGATCGTTGCACATCTCCTTCCCACTGAACTGATCCTCTTCAGAATTATTATGTAACTCATTGATGCTTAAGGAGGGCTCAAAACGATTACCTTAATTTTTATGATCTAGTTAAAAAAATAGCAATGAAATGATTACATGTGCAATTTGTTCAGCGATGATTTGGTATGGATTTTTCCACCAACTGAGCGGAATAGTGTTTATGGTTGGTACGAGTTACTTAGATGCTTACGGTTGCAATGATTTTTACCGACGATGCAAATTTGTAAGAGTAGTTATCTTTGCATCTTCTCACATTTAGTGGCTTGGGAGATGTTTTGTAGACCGGATTTCGGGCGTTGTTCGAACAAAGACCAATTGTAGAGGACTACTCAAGCTTCAAGTAAGGTTATGATTGATACCTCTCTACAGAAGTTGTGACAGAGTTAAATTCTGTGCTAAGCGAAATAGTCGAGCGCGTATTTACGTCTTGTCGCGTAGCTGTTGCGCTGCGCAGTGGTAAATGTTTGGCTTTGAACGTAATGAAATAAAATAAAAACAAAAAAATAAAAAATAAACAAAACTTTTCCAAGTTTTGTTTATTCTTAACACTGTTACTGCTAGCGTACATGGGGACCGTGATTGTGATTCTCCTCAACATAGTACTTTTAATTAAACATAAACAAAAATCTCTGTATAGGGTAAATATTCATTTGTGTCAGTATAAATTATTGCGTGACTAGCTTATGGTGGAAATAGGGAAGAGGAAAACAAAACGCAAAACCTGGGCTCCTATCAAAAGTAATACCCAGGCGTTATATAGTAATCGAAACAGCTCATAAAATTATTATAAATAAGGTAAGATTGTTATGTTAGATTTTGTTTACAAATTGTAATGATTTATGCCAGTAAACGGTGGCGACAAGTAGGCACACCATGTATATTTCATAGTCGCTAGCGAGTAAATTTTGCCGGACTTTGAGTTCGTCTCAAGATAGAACAACACAAATACACTTTTACAGTAACTTTTTAACCATCTTTTTGTCTTTTAAAAGCTCGAAGCTCATTAGATTCTGTCATATCGGTCCGTGTAAAACTATCTTTGTTTTGATGCTACTATTCGACATAGGAAAACTTGTATGTCGGACAAAAATATTCACCAAAAAATAAATATTACTTTACCAGCTTCAATAATGACAGGGGATTACGTTTAGATAATAAAACGAAGGATTTTGTTGACAGAAATACCGGAGGTCAAGTATATTCGTTACACGAGGATACACAACTCGGGTAATATTTACGGTGAAAATTTGCATATTTAAGCGGTCGAACGAAAAAAATTATTTCTCGAAAACTAAACTATATTTTCACAAAAAAACTACACCACAATTATTAGGACATATTGAGTTACAAAATATGAAGTAGGGGTGAAAGCAAATTTTGGGTGACTTGCCGCTGTTTGTCTGATACTTGTTAACATTAGCTCTTAAGTGCGAATTAGTTTAAAGAACCGGTTCATTCACATGGCAAATTTAAGACATCGGAGATTTCATATTTTGAGCTCATGATAAGGAAAACTCCAATCGTTACAACGATTCTAATGATATGGGGCTATCTATCAGGTTTTCATCACTTGTGAGGAGATCAGTTATGTTGTCTTCACTCACCATACAGTGGTATCAGTGCAAAAGCGTTTGAAGTCTTTTTTCTCCTTATCCGATGATATATTGGTTTACTCTCTGCTTACAGTAATTTCAGTCCCTAGCTTTATAAGGATCAATTAAGTCTAACCGAACAGAAATTAACCCTACGAACAACATAGTGCTTGTCTCATTGTCTTCTTTACTGCTTGTCTTACTTCGCTAATCTTCCAGCAGTAAATGAACGGGTTCAAGGTTGAGTTAAAGGATACAAAAGCCACCGTTAGTGCGGCCACACTGACTGATGAATGTATTAGGGGTATTTTACTAAAAGTGATCAAAATTACCAGTATGCAATAAGGTAGATAACAGACGAATAAAGCTAACTGCACCCACAGCGCATTGTACACTGCTTTTCTGTAACGTGCAATGTTCAGTGCATTTGGTTGGCTCGGATGTTGCTGATCATGATCTTGTATTTGAGTGTGATGAAGACGAAGAGCTCTAAAAATCTTTGTGTAAGATGCGAATGAGATCATCAAGCAAGACACTGCAACTACGAAGCTGGACCAAAATGTTATGTGGTCATTTAAGCTTTGGCATAAACTAAAGATGCCGGATGCAATCCAAAAGGTAACTGATATGACATGAATGCGCTTTACAGTTACAATTTGTCTGTACCTCAACCCCAACAACAGGGCGAGAAGTCTGTCCACGCTTATAGCCGTCATCGTCAACAAAGATACTGAACATAACGCATAGCCTGATATGAAAACTACGTTGTGTGTCCATCGACAACGACCCCAGTCTTCGTGGATATAGGACATAAAATGGATGACAGCCAAAGGATGAACGACGAGGCCGACTAACAGATCTGTTGTTGCAAGGCAACGATAAAGGACTTTGGACGGCGGATGAAGGGAGGATTCCTTGGAAAGGGCAACAAGGATAAGAGAATTGCCAAGAGTTGCTGTTAGGGAAAGCAGAATATGGATTGTCGAGAAATAATATGCATACGGTTGTATATCACTTGCCCGGGAACATGCTAGTTCTGGAATGGTTTTGGTTTGTGTTCCACCCTCTGTTATTTGAGTTGCCGTCATCTTCACGCCGCTAATCTGAAGCAGTCCTTTCCTTTTCCCAACAGATCATCTACTACAGCAACGAGAAAAGTCTTATCGTAACATCACTCGCCGGCCGTCAATAAGCAAAACAAACTTCCCCTCTGTATTTCAGACTAACCACCTTTTCGATAGCGTTCACGAACTAAAAATGAGCAAAAGAACCGGCTGTTGTGTCACAGTCAATTTTGTTTTCGTGGGCTTCCGTTGCATTTATTATCACCCAAGAGAGGAAACACCTGTTCAACAGTAAGCAATTTTTAAGACATTTGCTCTAAATTTATGACTTAAAAGGTTGCAGAATAGTTCCAATATATCCAATACATTTTATTGAAACCCACTCAAAGCCATTAAGACTGACGCGTAATTTAAATGGCTAAGGGTGAGTTACTGAACGCCGAATTATTAAATCTCTAGACTCTCTGCCAGAGCATTTTCTTTGCAACTTTTTTTCGGGAATGATTCATGCTAATGACGGCCTACTTATTAGAGAACAACATCGTAGACCACGGTCAGCTGTTAATCTTGGTCGGTGTAATTTGACTTAAGTGCGAATTAGGGCTAGGAGTTAATTTACAACTCAAACATAAAAACATCCGTGGTTTTAATATTTGACAAAAGGAAGTGAAACTCTCTTTACTCTCGTTTTGAGTAATGAAAAGGGTTTTTTTTTGTTTCTAATGCCATTTCATCATATGTTAGGTGATTCGGTGTTGACAGTTTTCTCACAAGTTAGGAAATTATGAATATTAAAGTGTGTTCCTTTTTGTAAAGTTGTTTGAGACGGCTAATGAAAAAAAAAAAATTAAAATGTGTTTTAGATGATGCATGGATAACATTTTAAATTGCACTGACGAGAAGAGCTCGAGCTTGCAAATGCAAATGCACGAGTACCAGAAGCTAAAAATGGGTGCGCAAGGATCAAGTACCTTGGATCTCAACTGAAATTCAACACGAAAACTTTTCTCTTCTTGGCCAAACGAATGGAAGTGCAGCACTTTGACACCCGTGTTCAAAAAGGATGAGGACACGCGGAAAGAGAACTATCGCCCTTTGTCGGCCTTTCGGCTTTGTCAAAGGTCTATGAGAAAGTTATGTACGATCAGCTTTATAACACTTTCTGTCGCCACTTGTCACAAAACCTCTCTGGATTTCTAAAGAACCATTCGTGTTGCACCGCTCTTCTGAAAATGACCAAGGATTGGAGAAGGAGCCCTGACAACAGAGAGTCAGCCATGGCCGTGGCCCTTGATTTATCAAAGGCTTTTGACTCTATTAATCACAATTTTCTGTTGGAAAAGTTAAAAGCCTATGGTTTCTGTGAATCTGCCTTGAGTTTGATGTCATCTTATCTACTGGGTCGTAAACAGAGGGTTTGTTTGCACGGTGTGTGCTCAGTTCTATGCTGATGACACGACTCTGTATGCATCAGATGCCTCGCCCATTGCCCTGCAATTTGCAGTGAACCAGGGTCTCAGCCGCCTGTCGGAATGGTTCGATGCAACTAGTTGTTAATAAACAATGCTAAGACGCAAGCCATTCCGATCGGTCCTTGCAAGTACGATTTTGACTTCAATTTGAAAGATTCTGGCGTCACTACACTTCCCTGTATTAGGATGTTGGGCGTGGAACTTGATATGGCATGTTTTAAACTTTAAAGAGCATATTTCTAGTCAGCTAAAAAAGGCGTATGTGAAGACCGGCGCTCTTAGGAGAATTAAGCGTTTTGTACTTATGGACGTTATGCTAGCGTTATACAAGTCTTTATTTTACCCATCTAGAATACTGTTGTCCCCTCCTGTTAGGCGTGGGGAAAGTTCAGGTCAATAAAATTGAAGACGTCAATCATTACCTTACCAAGACCTCTTAAATATATGTAAGTTGGATTACTCAGAGTGCAGGAAAAAGAAGCAATCTCTGATTGTATTGTTTAAATGCATTAGGAATATAGGGCCGAAATACAATGGAGACTTTTTACGCATAAGAGAAACGTCTCACAATTTAAGAGGAAATGGTGTGAATCTTTGCGTTCCCAAATCTAATCTTAATTTTATGAGGAACTCCTTTACTTACAAGTGTGCTCAACTATGGAATAAACTTCCAGAGGATGTCAAGTTGGCAGATGATGTTGATGTTTTTAAGTCTAAGCTAAGATTGATTCAGCTGTAATCTTTACATTTTTAATTTTTGTGTGTGTAATTTTTATAACATTTTATATTTGTGTGTACATAGATTATAGATTATGGATTTACATTTCTTTTTCTTTTTCTTTTAATGCTAGATCGTATTTTGAACGAGCACTTGTGCTCTTAAACGATAAAGTGGTGAAATAAATAATTGATATTGATCCAGTACGCTCCAATCACAGGTAAACGATTTTCATGAACGGGAGGGCAAAATGGGTAGATTTTGTTTGAAGAAGGAGTCACAGTTTGAAGGTATACGCTGTGCCCCCTAGCTCAAGTAATGTCTTTCAAAAGTGATTCAGAGCGAGAAAGCACAAGACGACAAAGAGTGAAGCTCTCAGTAAAGACTTTAAGATAAGTCATTTTTACAGGCAGCTTTGAAACCCTTAAATATTGTTATGGCTTGCAGTACTTATCTCGTACTGCATATGGTGTTTGATATTCGGAGGTTTCGAGATGTGAGGGGTAAAAACTTTTGCTACCAGGGAAGCTGTCTGACTTCTCTATGATGGAAAGAAAATGCATGGGCCGGGGGAAGGATATTAGGATAACTTTTCAAACACGACTGTGTGAAAATAAAAGAAAATTTAAAGTGGCATATTTATTTCTGGAAGCTTCATCTGGCATATCCATGACTGTTAGAATTAGAAATATATTTATGGCCGCATGTCCAGAGAGACGCTGTATTCAAGGCACGAATGAGTCAAATTGTGCACCTTAGTTGAGATCCAAGATTCCGAGAGCCATACCCTGGTTGGCGGCATGCACTTATATGTTGAGTTCACCCGAGAGTGTGCCTTTGTACCCCCTCTCCCCCCTCCCCTTCGAGCACGAGGTAACTTCGAAACTCAGGATGGTCAAAACAAATTAACAATTGGTTCATGCGTCAGCGTGCGTTCATCGAGATATGAAGCACGCGGGAAGTTTGGAGAGCATGAAAGATGAAATTTGTTTTTCTCGAGGGATTTGTTTGCTGACGTCATGAGTGTGCACAATAGGAATATGAAGCACGCTCGCGTAATTGAATTTGATTAGACGAATTTACTAGCTATGTTATAAATGCAATTGACCTCATACATTTATAACAACCAAAGCCTACCTACATAGGCATACCTTGAATATTCAATCAATACGAATATGCCAACATGCGCGTTACAAACTTACGGTAAAAAGTACATATTTTACAGTGTATAATAGACAAACCTAGTTCGCTATGTAAGATAAAAGCAATGACATGACGAATACAAATAAATATAGGTTATAAAATGATTCCGAATGCAATTTGGTTTAAATAGACACGAGTGTCTTAACTTTGCATTCGTGTTGCATAAAAAAATACACTCGTTTTCACCCAATCAGACGCGCGTATTGTTTTTTTTGTCATGTACATGATTAGACGTAAATATGCCACAATGCCTTTTTTTCAATCTACGGTAAAAGGCGCACATGTATAATAGTCAGATACAATCAAGGTTCACAATGAATGATAAAAGCTAGTAAACGATAAATAAGATGATTGTAATCTTGATATCAATGAAGATGATTATAGCATATAAAAGTTAAAAAAAACGATGAAACTGTACCAATGGCGGCCGTGGCTTGACAAATGACCACAACATTAAAGGAAAAAAAGTTATTGGAAAGATTTTCAAATTCTATCTTCAAAGCTAGGTCAATTGTATCTTGATGGAAAATTAATGGAGAACTAAGCACCCCTGTCGTTAAGTTATAATCACAAAAGAGCGCCTTGAAGACACTACAATTTACGATAACAGTTAACAGAGGTCCACCTCTAACTAACAATTCAGTTATGACTGACTGAAACTCACTATAAATGTCAAAATGTCTTCACTGAAGTTTTCTCTCAAACTTCCATTCGTATGCTCCCTTGCAAAGCGAGGGTTCACTATTCAGACAAATTTGGTCGCCCAGCACTCAGCAATTTTTTCCAGACATCAGTTCGGCTTTCAGCCTATTAAATCTTTCCTTTACAAAGTCATAAAATTCATATTCTAATTCCATACGTTTCTTCATTATCTCTTGCACCTCCGGAGAAGGTCCCCTCTTGTTCGCGGTTCTGGTAGATGTCATCCTGGAATTGAGATTATCGTCTGAAAAAAGATAAAAAATTAATATAGGAAACTATAAAAAGGAAACCAGTAGAAACGGAAATATCACAAGTGCAATGAGAACTCAACGTTAAAACAAGCAATCTGCTTAAGCCACGGGAAGACGCGGGTGAACAAGTTACGAATGGTTTTAGTTGTGAATAAGGATGACGCGAGTTGTCTTGAAAATAGATAAATTGAACAAGAATTGACACAAAATATTAAAAAGAAGACAATTTATGAGAGATCACGCTGAAGACTGATACTCCGCTGTTTTTCTCTTTCGCTTGAGAAAGTAATAGAACAATTAGTATCATGCATCTCCTTGTCTTTCTTTATTTTGTTTTGATATGCACTAACCTGGAGTCTTATAGGTGTCTAGTACGCCCGTGAAAAATTCTGGTAAAAGTTTTTCAAGGACAAATAGAAAATCTTCCAACTGCTCCGTAACACCAACTACCAAATAATTTTCCATGACGTTTTTCTTGGCCTGTTCAAGCGCTTGACTTGTTGGTTTCCTGGACAGGGATGAAAAGGAAGGAGATAAAATTGAAAACAGGAAGGATTTGATGAAAGGTGAGTGTGACCGAGTGGTTAGGGCGTGGGCTTGTAATCTGGTGGTCCCAGGTTCAAACCCTCCATGTTGCACCCCGCTACTTACTGGATTTGTTCTTGGTTGTCCCGAGTTATCTCCTTAGCTACGCTCTGTAGACAACCAACTGGCTTGTCTCTTAGGATTTACTTAATACTACGTTTATTCACAACGTTTCAATTTAAACTGAAAAAAACCAGTTGGGGAAGTGATAATAATTATAAACTAATTCAACAGTTACTACACTTAAGCTATATGAACTGATTGGGAACAAAATGAAAGGATACACATAAAGAGTACTATACAAGCCTTACACTCAAAATACGAAAAAATCTATACATACATATAAAAAAATAAAAAATAAAATAAAAATAAATGAATAAGTAAATAAAAATTTAAGAACTGCGTAACGTGAATTCCGATAAAAACCTGCTGATAATGCCTGTCAGAATGAAGTTAACAGCGCCATGACTAGATTCATTGACAATTACGAAATTGGATGATAAAGCAGAGGTTAATAATTATTGACGATAAAACGGAGTTTTTATTCATAGGAACGAGAGAGCAACTTACTAAGATTGATACTTGGCGTATTATTACTATTGGTGAACGCGACATTGATCCAGGTCTGTGTGCTAGAAATCTCGGCGTGTGGTTTGATAGTCAGTTAAACATATCAACACATGTTACTGGACTTTGTAATGCAGCCTTTTATCATTTACATAACATTAGGTGAATTAATAAGTATTTATCTCGTAATTCTTTGGTGACACTTATTCATGCATTTATTATTTTGTCGCTTAGACTGTGGTGTTTGTATGGTTACTTAAATTAAAGATCTTAAAATTACAACGTATTCAAAACGCAGCGGCGAGACTTTCTATGACCATTGGTAAGCATTTCCATTTTACACCAGCGCGTTATGATCTTCACTAGTTCCCAGTACGCGCTCGTATTTGTTTTAACATATCAGTCTTAGCTTTTAAGGAAATTCATGGATTGGTACCACTGTATATTAGTGATTGAATAACGGCACCTTGTTACTGGAGCCGCTTAAGGAAAAAAAATTCTTTCAACTCTGGAGTAGTTTGCTCGCTGAATTGCGTGCTATCCCACCAGGGACAATTTTTAAACGCAATCTTTAGACCTACCTTTTCGGTCAGGTTTTTTTTTAACAAATTTAGACCAGAAATTTTATTGTCCTTATGACTATTATTTATTCTGATTTTTTTTATTTTATTGTCTCATGAACATTTTACATGGTATACTTAGATTGTTGTAGAATAGTTTTATAGGTGAATCATTGTAAAGCGCTACTGATCATTTCTGTGTAAATAACGCTATAGAAATACTCTAATTATCATTATTATTACTATTATTATTATTATTGTTATTATTATCATTATGATAACGGTTCTCACCTGCAGAAGGCTTCATTGCCACAAAAGTAAGGGATGATGTAAAACACTCTTTGCGGTTTGACGCAGTCATTCATTTCCTTTTTGACGCATTCATCAAAGGTCTAAGGAGACGAGTAAGCAGGAAAAATTAAAAGTTACTTTTAAGAGAATTGAAGTTTAAGGAAGTTTTCAGTTGACCAGTTTGAGTTTATGTCGACACTTTTCTGCTGAGGAGCGAGAAGAGAGCTCCGAGGGAGGGTTGGGTGTAGAGGAAGAAAAAATGAAAGTCGGCTTGTGTGCCTAGAGACCCACCCTGCCGGAGTTTACCCCAGTTTCGGTGGAGTTTTGAAAATGATAAGGATTATTACAACTACCCCCTCAGTAGACGAGAAGCTGATCCATCGTACCTGCCAATCGCTCAGAGTGGGGAGAGTTAGGGGAAGTCTGGTCTCCTTCACTTTCTTCTTTGAGATGTCACGCAACGTTTTCGTAAAATCATAGTGGACCTGATAGCACTGCGTGACATATCAAAGAGCGAAAGCGATAAAGAAGGTAGCTTTCACTACACAAACCATATTTTTCTGTTCCTCCGTGCCTTTGAAGCTCCAATTTCTTTCACCTTCTCTATGATCCCCGAATCTTGTGTAGTAGTACGAAGAGACCATACGAGCCAGGGGATCCCTTATCAAGTTGATGTAAATGGGTTGAACGGCGCCAAATCTGGAGTAAAGAAAAGATAACTGCATTTTATTCAAGGCTAGTTTGCGAGCAGGCCCTTATTTTCAGTGCTGCAGGAATTGTGTCGGGGAGTTATTTGCCTGAAGTCTGGCACTAATAATGAGACCCCATGCAGACCTCTCACAGGTTAGCGTTTGTCAAGGCCTCAAACTTTCCCGCGGACGGAGAAAGGCTTGTGTCGATGCCTTGATATTGAGGGCCTTTTTGCGGGCTCTCTTAACCCTTTACACTCTAACATCAGTATTTATATTCTACATACTGTTCTCTGTACATGTAATACGGTGCTGACAAGGAGAATTTGTGTAATAATCAAGAGTTTCTTTAGTTGGTGATCATTTCTTTTATTCTCATGACATTAATGTGTGATTCAGTGGTGATATTGTAAGGAGAAACTAGATGTTATTTATTCTTAGGGATTAACGGGTTAAAGCTAGATCCCACGTATCTAATACTTAATTCTCCCCTTTTACTTTTACATACTTCCCTGTATATTAGGTTATATAGAATTAAGCGAGTTATCAACGTCTCAATCTATTGCTGTTACGTTTTTCCCAGTCAAAAATTATATCGCAAACATAAAAGATAAATGTTAATCACTCCTCGTAGTAAAGCAGTGATTTTTTCGGCTATTCCACTCTTAAGTTTCAACCGATAAACTCGTTTGCTAGTTGTTGGTGAACTCCACCGTTTATCCTAAAGTCGCGATTTTATCTCTTCGGCTGCTCGGAGGGTGAAAAGCTGTAGCCGATCACTTCCGAGCTTCCATATGTTTCTCAGGTTTAAGGTACTTGTGTTTCAACTGTTATTGTAGAGACGAATTAAAATTATAAACGTAAAGCTAAAATCTTAGTTGGATTTTATTTCATCTGAAAGCTTTGGCTCTCTTTTAATCCTTTATCTTCTAAGAGTAACTGATATTTAATTTCCTCTAACAGTATAACTACTGGATCAAACACAAAAGCCATGAAAATTGAGGAAATGACCGACAACTTGTGAAAATTTTGAGTGTTAAACAAATTCTCCTTGTTAGCACCCCTTAAAAAATGCATAGAGAACAGTGTGGAGAATATGCAGACCGCCAGGTTAGGGTTGAAAGGTTAACCATGCCGGTGAATTCGTAGCAAAGGAGTTGTTACCTCTTAAAGTCGACGAAACGTATGTGGTGATGATAGATGAATGGTGGCTGGAACTGATCTATGAGGTCCACAAGCTCAACCTGCAAAGGTAACAGAAGGAGAGAAAAACAATTAAGAGATAGATAAATAAAGAAAGAGAGAAAGAAAGAAAGAAATAAAGAAAGAAAACAAATGGAAAGAAAGAATAAAAGAAAATTAGGACATGTCAGCTGCGTTAATCGCCAAAACGCATACATGGGAAAGTGTGAAGCCTTGGGCAACGCAAGCCAGCCAGAGATCTTGAAATGGTCTGGCATCTTATTTTTAATGCCAGGCCCCCGGTAATCAATCCTCTCCTAGACTGCAACATCAATGTTGTTTTTGGAGGCAGGGAAACGGACATCTGGGGGGATCACATTGTGTGGGAACAGAGGGAGAATAAGTCGTTACCAACAGAATATCAAGACAGGGGGGTTACTATAAAACATTGACTGGGAAATCATAACAACACAACAATACCTCAGGGGGGATTACATAAATTTATTGTGACATGGCAAAAGTCCTCAGTCCTCCCCCTCCCCTCATCCGCGATAAATGATGATCGTTCCCTTAATAGCGGTTACCTGTTCGCGAAGAGTGACTTCTCCGTTACTATTCTGGGTTGAACCAATCACTTTATACCCCAGTTTTTTTGTCAGTGTGGCCATGAGATGTATCATAGTGCGGCTTCCACATTTTCCCACTCTATTGTAGACAATTATTTTCTGTGGAAATAGGATAATACACATAATAAAGATTAATAGTACCGGAGAGCCATAAAAGAAAAAAAAAAGGATGAGAACAAACCTAATGATTATTAAAGAAACAACAAGGGGGTAAACAAGCAAATTTTTTAGCGAACTATTTAAGCAATGAACTGCACTCTTTATCGGTTTACTGCTGTCATAAACCATACAGGAAGCTGGGAGGAAAGGAAAAAAGGTTGTAAATCCTGAGCTGAGACTAGCCGATTGTTCCTCTGAAATCCTACAAGGGTTGTTACACTGGTATATTGATGGAGAGAGTGGTCTATTGTTTTTGTAAAAGAAATTTAGAAAAGGCGGTTTGTTTTAATGTTTTCTGGGTTGCCTGATGCGAAAAGAAAAACATAGGTTTTGGACCAATCAGGGCGCTGGCCGCATCCTTGTTATTTTATAAGGATCAAAGATCATGTGAGATATAACCTAGATGTTCTTGAATGATTTGTTTTCAAGCATTATCAGATGGGGCTTATTGTTTTTATTATAACATCAGATGGCCGGTACCACCCGATTCAGACATGCACGGTCATTACTTTGGACAGTGAGCTCTCAGGCTTGCATCTAAAAGGGTTAACCCAATAAACTCTGAAGAGTGACTAGCATCTAGCATCACCCGTTAAGGTCACGAGAATAAAGAAAATGATCACTAACAAGATAAAGCTCTTGGTTCTTAAACAAATTCTCCTTGTCAGCGCCATAGAAAAAGTATGGAGAACATCGTGGACAATAAACTCAGAGTTGAGGGTATAAAGGATTAAAGAATTGAAATAAATTGGTTTTTAAAATTTTTTAATGTGAGCGCTAAGGATATTTGACAGGCAAAATAGTGATATGGAATAATTTTACGACACTTACCCCTTTTCGCATTGATTTCAAGGTTGAAAACACTAGAAAAGAAAACGTAGTTATCAGTCAAAACAGATGTAGGTAATTCTTAATGTCGCACTACGCGCATGTGCTGTGGCCGAACAATATTTCGCGTTGGTCTTTTTTTTTTCGGTCAACAATCTATTCTGGAGGCCTCTGGCCTTCTTTTCCGTTCCCTCTCCTTACCTTGAGCTTTACAAATTAAAACTCGTTAATAATTCATTATGTTAGATATAAGTTTTCGACAACAATTCGGCCATCTTGCCTGGCCAAAATTTCTCCCAGGACAAACTTGTCGGGTCGCTGTTTCTTAAAGCGCTCTTTCAAAGAAAACTAAACTGGTTACCTGGAAATCGACCAAAATATCGATATAGGCATATTTCATATTTCTATACATTCATGAAAAACAAACTTCTCACGACGGCACTGCATAAACCAAAAATATTCGTGTAAATTTAGGCGCTTCTCTGAATGTTAGGATCAACTTGCGTTTCTGCTTCGATAACTAATGAATAATTTTCGCTTTGTTTTGTGTTGAACTGTTATTTTCTGAACGCTTTAAAACCTCAGTTAACTTGAAGCCCCTCGATGTTATGGTGAACACACATTTGTCAAAAATTTGAATTTTAAATGCGAGCACTTGTAGTACTGCAAAGTAGCTACATTCTGATCATTTTGTCCCATCGTTTTAAGGGGCTACGCATCACATTACAAATCGCGAGCTTGAGAATATGCTTTGACGCGACATAGCAATCATTATGAATATGAAAGCGATCTTTGCAGTGATGAACACTACTTAATTCAGACCTGTACGGGATTTGAACCCACGACCTCTGCGATACCGGTGCAGCACTCTACTAAATGAGCTAACAAGCCAACTGGGAGCTGGTTATTATGTTGGTTCCAATCATTCCTCTCTTTCAACACTCACATAAACGGTCTTTTCAATCACTATCTCAACACAGCCTCTTCATTACCTATTGCATCAAATTTATAAGCAATTTTTTTTTCACTAAAAAGTTGTAGAAGAAACAAAGCACCACGTCGATCTACTACTAACTTCGAAACTCCTACTAAAAACCCTAGAATTCTGTTTTTAATGTCACGATTCCTTTTGATCTTTTCAATAGCGAGCTAGCGAGTCACAGAGCCTCCTCAACACCATATCAATTAAGAATGAAGAACCTTTAAAATCTTATTTAAAGGAAAAATTGATATGCGTGCGTTCGTCCGAAAATATGAGGTGTTCGTTAAAACAAAACTAACCGTAAAACCAATCGATTGGAAAACAATTAAAGACCAAGACTTTATTGATGATTTTGTACGGTATTGTTTTAAAATTTCGATTACGCAAGTGGTTATTTCTACAGTGAAAGTGCATGAGCTGTATCGAGCTTTAGGTAATGTTGCAATTGATCACGACAATTAATTCTGAAATCCGATGACACAGGAAAAAAAGGCGGTCGAAAGAGGTTAGTTTAAGATTTCTGCACAGCCCATGCTTCATTATGCAGAAAGTTCTCGGAGAAAGAAACAATGGCAAAAACAATAGATTACCTTTGGGACTGTGGCTTTGTTTAAGAATATAAATGATTTGATTTTAATTCAACTGAGTTGATAATGGCCATCGTAAAGAGTTTGTAAAGCTCACGTTTCGAGCGTTAGCCCTTCATTCGAGTAAGTGGTATGGGAATAGCATGGTGCTAAAGGAATCTTCCCGAATTCACTTTATTTTTAACTTTCTCATCCATTTTGGTTTCTTAGGTTCTGCGTTGTCCAGTAAAATGACAAAAGCCAATTTTGACTTATTTTCTACCATTGTTATTTGTTGAGGGAGCAAGATCCCTGTAGAATCTCATACCAATTATTATGCAAACATACCATTCATTATGCAAACAGTACTTGGATAAAATAAAACAATGGCGAAAACAATGAATCTACTTTGGGAAAACGGCTTTATCCTCGAAAATATTTTAGTTTTATAGCCCAACTGGGTTTATAATGCAAATTGACCGCCTAGAAGAGTTTCTTCGTTCGAAACGTCGGCTTTAGAAACTCTTTACGGTAACCAATTTACATTGTCAATTAGGATGATAAAAGCAAAGTATCTTGTGATACCCCTCACCGACGCGCTATC